TTTGGAATTTAGAAGGAAGTTACCTCCTCTGACATTTTTAATAAACAACCTCCACTGTGTTCTCCATGAAGGAATTCTGTCGACAGTGATAGCTACAGTCGTTGTACACTACTTGAGCACGGGTGTTGGAGCCGGGTGGATTGTCGCCATGAGTTTGGCGGCCGGAAGTCAATTCTTCGCTGCCATTTTCTTCTTCATCTTTGCCTCGAGCCAGGAACAAGCGTGGGCCAAGGGCGGAGTGGTGGTTAGCGCCTCAGGTGATGTATTACATTCGCAGAACTGCCTTACTGCCAACCGACGCGGGGTCCAAAAGAAGAGACACCCTCCTACACGGTTCCTCGAGTCTGATGACGTTGAAGCCAACTACAGATGAGATTTACTTAACCAATTCTTAGTAGCTATGTTTTTGTGCTCCTGAGTTCGTGATACTCAGGGGCATAATAACTGAATCCCAGAACCCCCGCCCGTTTCTGCTACTCAGCGGATAAAATAAGGTCTCAATTTACTAACCGCATTGGCCTTTCAATTATTTTTCATTCTACATCACGTAGTTTCTTTAATATTCACAACGATCTTGTCTGCAGAAATATTTAAGGAGCAATTTTTTCCTCAGAAGATTACCTTCGTATAAAATGCATCTCCCACTATGACACGACCTTTACTGGAAAATCCTTGCGAAAATGCACAAAACAAAACCCACTTTGAGTAAAACTAACTCAGTTGAGGTAGTCCAAGCTTCTCATTGGCCAAAGATATTAGTCTAATGGCTTATCGCTACTTCAACATTCGGAATAATTTCAAATCATAAGAATGTATGAGAACTTCCGTGATCCTGTGATTATAGCAATAACTTAATAGCGCGTCACGAGTCTCTTCGGACTTGTCAATCTGCTTTTGTGACGATGTGTAAATTCCTACCAAAGAAAGTGTATTCACCTCTACCACAGTCGCCTTCGCCTTTTATTTATCCTTCTCGCATAAAGCTCACGTCACCCACCTCATCCATTTTAAAACTGGGAATTACAAAATAGGAACGTCTAGAGCCACTGGCCTACCTATCAATCTGTTACCAACCAGCTTCACCGCACTTATCACACGAGAAAACTGTCATTCCGAGATGACGCGAACCGCAGAACTTTTCGTCATCCAAAATTTACCCAAGGAGGCACATGGTGAGTGAATGCCGCAAGCCCCATAGTAACATTAATGAGGTTGCAAATGACCTATACAGCACAGCAAGGGATGTTATTGGGTTAGTAAGCCAGACCAGGGAGCCAATTACGGCTGTGACGAACAAGCAGGGTCGTGTGGACACTTTCACGACTTACGCGAGTTCGTCTTTTAACAATGAAAATGTGGTTATGGGGTGCACACTTGTACTTGGGGATCATCACGAGCATTAACGACTGCAAAACGTCGCCATTTTTAAGCACACCGTAGGCATCACAGCAGCAAAGTTCAATAAGATTCCGCAGTTCATCCCTCTCCCGGAGCGGGCCAGCAATGTTAAAGACATAATATTCACCAGTCTTTACTCCATTTGTACGTGAAGGACGCGCTTAGGAGTACGCTAGATGACCTGCGGTAAGGGTCTTCAAATACAAAATGCGCCACCACCAAGCGTGGAACCCAAAGGGCAATACCTCCCAATTCCAGATTGATTGCTAGTAACTTTTTTGTACCTTTTACTTGAAGGGCATACCGCTACCGCTTTGACCACATATTTTAGGTTGTGGTAGTTTCCCCGGAATTCATAATTCAAATGGTACACTCCGAACGCTAAAACAAGTACCACGCAACCGCCTCGAATAAGTACGTAGACCTCATTCGTCTCCGTAATAAAAGCTTGTGTACGACGATTATGCGCAAGTTCAAGGCCGCCCGAAGGCCACCCCACACTAATGCTAGTCTTTGGTCCACGGCCCACCCTCCACACCATCACGGCAACGACGTGCTCACCGGGTTAGTAGATGCATCGCCTCATGGCTGCACAACAATACGGACACGCACAAGACCAAAAGAAGCCGAGTTTATGCAATTACAGTGACGAATGAATACACGGCCTAATTTTCGTTCGAAAAGCACTCCTTCACTACCATCTAAACGACACCATCGTAATAACTCCTTTGCTTGTAATTTTAGTCCTTCTTAACAACATGGCACGTATTGCAGACCAGATTTATTTGATGCATCCACTCCAGGTAAGAAACTGTTATGCAATCAAGGCAACATCCAGCGGATTGATGTTGGTATGAATTAGCACATCTTTACGCTCTGAAGAGGCGCTAGGAACTCAAAACTATGTACTAAGTACATAGATACAGTAAATACCATTCCCAAAAATATTCGTTGGGGCAGCCTTAAAATACGGACACATGCGCACGGAGTACCTGTACAAGTTGCATCAATATCGTCCATCTAAATAATGCAGGAAATGGGAGATGTCAGTGACGACCGAACAGCTCTTTGGAATGTGCGCAAATACGTTAAAAAAATGAGGGTATAGGATCAAGATTAATGCCCATAGATATTTACAGACCCTGGTTTCCTTTGAATAAGACGTAGTGGGGGCTGCTGAAATTGAGAACGTCATGAATTGCAACAAAACACAAGCTCCAACACACTCATCAACAATAATGAGAAGCATCAAGAACGGATATTCAGAACGCACCAACGATTCAGGAATTTTCTGCCTTAACAATGCTACAAAAAGATTAATACCAAGCAGGGACGTTAAATCGTCACATTCAACAAAGATGAAAACGCATGCCGCTACCTTGGCAAAAGTAAACGCTCACGAAGCGAAGCATTATCAACGGACGCAAGTGATCAAACGTGACCAAGAACTATTACAATAAATGTAGACAACAAAGACAAGGCCTTGTATTTACCCGCATTTACTCCAAAATTTACTGAGCACCATGCCTATATGTGAGACCACATTTGCCACAATATTCCCTGTCGAAGTGACTGGCCATAAAGACACCGGCGCCGCACTCTTTGTTAGGGCACTCTCTTCTCAGACGATTCAACTTGCCATTCGGTTCAACCTAAAGAAATCAACCTTCAGCAGAAAACAAACTTGATAGAACTTCAAAGTAGCAAGCTTAACTTTTTTCGGCTTCCGCTTAATCTTCTTGGGAGTGGTGTAAACCTTCTTTTTGCGTTTCTTTGCGCCACCCAGCAAGTTCACGTTCAGATCCACTTGAGCAATCTCAGAGTCGCAGCAGTCTTTAAGAGTGGCATAATCGTTCAAAAGAAACCCATTGAGAGACAAAGACTGCAATGAACATGGGATGCCTTCCATCGACTCAATGCACCGTTTCACATCAAAAACGGATTTGTCTTCATCACAGTGAAATGAGAGCGTCGAACCGTCGACACGACGCAAAAACAATCGCATCGCTACAGTCTGAAAACCAACGTGAAAAGTGGTATAAGACTCGCGCCGTTAACTGACTTAAGTTAATTATAAAAACAATGAAAAAAATGTAGTAAATTATCCTGTATCCATGTCTAGCATTACACTATTATGCGAAAAATTAAAACTAGTGTTACTGGCATTGTAAAAAATGAGGTCACTAAATTTAAAAACTTAAATGAAAAAAACAAGTCGAGATTAATTTTACATAAAAAACAGGTCTCCTTGTTCGCCTATTGCTATAAAATCTTGTAATATGAATATTACTGATAAATGAGATGATTGTAAAAGCTATTAAAATGCTCAAAGTCACAAAAAGGGACCATTCGGCTTTAAGTATTAGGCGTGGTGATCGAATTAGATTTTCTGGACAGTACTTTAAAAGTCATTACAGTCCTCCATCGAAAAAAACAAATTTATTTCCAACACAAAACACAATGCTTCAGTAAACTGGTTTGCAAGCAGATACGTAACAGAAGCCGCCAGTAAAAATCTAAAAGAAATTTACGTCCTAACCATTTCTACAAGCATTAGTGTAATACGATGGTAGTTTATCCCTGGGCATTGGTGAGGCGCTACTTTTGAACTTGGAATTGGCCCCCTTGTTCCTCGCTGGGTGGGCCGGCCTTTTAGGCCATGCCAATAGCCCAGACACCTTCTCCGTGCTGAATGTATATCGTCTGCCCGAGTATTGTGTCTTCTTTTGTCTTAAGGGAGTCCCGGGACGCTACATTGACATCCATTTTTATTTCTTCCTACTATAATAT